AATTAAAAAAAAAAAAATGTAACTCTTACTCTTTACTTGATGTGCCAGTTTGTACCGTTAAGCATTTTCACAAAAAGCACATGTCTATAGACGGTACTTAACAACAACAACATACTATAGAAAATGTCCTGGTGTGGAGTTGTAGGATAAACACTGGACTGCAAAGTCAGTGATGCAAACATATATGAATTTATATAGGGTCAATCTGAGTTGGAACACACTCTCTGCACTTAAAAACAACAACAACATACTATAGAAGGAGTCCTGGTGTGGAGCTGTAGGGTAAACACTGGACTGCTAACAGAAAAGTCAGTGGCTCAAGCCCACCAGGTACTCCTCAGAAACTCTATACAGGGCACTATGAGTAGACCCTGACTGAATGGCACTTAAAAAACAATCACACTGGCTTACAAGCTTTCAAGAGGGAACCTAGATACAGAGGGCCTGGAGGAAGGTAGAATCTCCAGTGAATAGTACCCAATCTGTCTAGGCTGGGCTGATGCAAAGAAATGCAGATGGGTCTCTTATGATACAACAGTGAATAATTGTTATCAGGACTGATTGTTAAGGTTGGAAATGTAAAGGTAGATGTTTTATAGCAAGGAGGGGAGTGATTCACTTTTCAGTCTAGGAGCGGAGTTCCCTAGGACCATCAAGGGAGAAGAGTGGAGAGCGGGACCCTACCCAGATAAGTAGTGATGCCTGAAATGGAGGCAGAGATGATGACGTGGAGCGATGGAGCAGCTGGAGACTTTAGATCCAGAGAGGGAGAGGGGCTGTGTGCTGAAGACCTGAGAGGTATGGGGGGGCGGGGCAGGATTGCAGAGTATACCCTTTGGTTGGTTGATGATGCATGGAGGGGATTGTAACCATGGCAATGAGATGATATACAATAGAATGAATGTGAAATTAATGTTCTCCCATGTAAACTATCACATAATTCACAATAAAACATTTAAGAAAAAAAAACCACCAAACAATCACATACTATAGAATATAAGATGGGGATACTCCTTAGAAGCAAGGATGGCATGACTTCCACTTGCTTACTTTGAACATGTCAAAGCTGCTAGAAAAGGATGTCATGGTTGGGAAAATCAAGTGTCTGAAAATGAGGGAACGCTTCAGTCAGATGGCCTGACACAATAACCCAAACCATAGACTGATACCAATGATCATGAAAGGGGCACATGACTGGACAATGCTTCAATTCATACGTCACTATAAGTTGGATCTGACTCTAAGACAATTCATAAGAATATTGCTTTTATAATTTTACAAAAAGGCAATAATGGTGTTTTCTGTGCTGGTGACTGTAGAGAGGTGATGGATCATTAATTCTTCCCACTCCTGACAGGTGGTCAGCTGGAAGTACGAGAGATAAAGTCCCACCATCCTGGATTCTAAGGAGCACTCTGGCTGTACTTTTTCCAACATAGATTTATTTATTCTTCAGGTATCCCATGGCCTTTATTTATTTTTTTAGGTTTATTGTGAATTATGTGATAGTTTACATAGGAGAACATTAGCTTTACATTCATCCTATCTTATTTCCTTTCATTGCCATAGTTACAATCCCCTCCGTGCATCATCAACCAACTGAAGGATATACCCTGCAAGCCTGGCCCCTTGATGTCAGCATACAGTCCCTCTCCCTCTCTGGGCCTACAGTCCCCAGCCGCTCCATATCTCCACGTCATGGACTCTGCCTCCATCTCTGGCGTCACTGCTTCTCTGGTTAGGGTCCCATCCCACGGTATTTTTAAAATGTTCCTCCAACACCATAACTGAAAATCCATTAATTCTACGGTCTTCTTTTTCATTTTCCACCTTTCAGTAGCATATGTTGTTGTTACAGTTATGTGCCGTAGTTGATTCCGACCCATAGCGACCCTGTATAGGGTTATTGAGGTTATTGAAAATACCATGGCTTGGGTCAGGCGCACCTTAGTCCTCAAACTGACATCTTTGCTCTTCAACACTTTCGTGCAACACATTTGCCTAATGCAATACCTTTTCTAAATTGAGATTCATAAAATGAAACTAGGGTTAAAAGTAACGCAGGCGCTACCTCAGGTTGCTTGGAGTTAGGAGGGAAATAAATAAAATGAAAGATTTAAGTCAGCGTTGACAGGGATAGGCATTTAAAGAATGAAAAACGAGGTGGACTTGCGACTCCAGAGCAGACATCCTATGCAAAGAACCGCCAACCGCCCACTGCGCGCCTTTCGAGCCCACACTTCTAGACTCCCTGCGCGTCGTGACGTCACCACGCCTGGGCGGGGTCGCGTCGGGGGCGGGACTGCCGCCTCGATCTTGCGGAGGGGGCGTGGCGGGGGCGGGACGGGGCGTGGCGGGGGCCGCGCCGGGAAGGTGAGGGTGTTTGTAGCGCGCTCGCTCGCAAGGCGGCTGACTTCAGGAGCTTGTGGGGTCTGGATGTCTGGACTGCCAGCTGTCCCGGAGCAGGGGCTCCCGGAGCAGGGCGCGCCAGGTCCGCTGCACGCAGGCTTCGTGCTGGGACTGGACGTGGGCAGCTCTGTGATCCGCTGCCACGTCTATGACCGTGCGGCGCAGGTCCGCGGCTCCAGCGAGCAGAAGGTGACCGGGGAGCGGGAGTCGGGGGCGCGGGCCGGGGTCTCGCCGAGCCCTTGGGATTGGGTTGCGAGAGGCGAGCGGGCGGCTCGGCCTCAGCCGGCCCGGATGCACCCACCTTCTGCACTGGCAGGCCCTGGGTCCTGGGCTCCGTGCACAGCACGAGCGGATCCCCGTGTTACCTGCCCCGGCCAGGTCGAACTTATGCGCCCTTCCGTCTGGCTGAGGGGCAGGACAAACCCAGCATGGGTCCCGGGCCCGCACACGCGCATCACTACACCTGTCTGGACTTACCTGGGTGCTTCTGGGGTGACTCTCAGGGCAGGGCAGGTTGTGAGCATCCAGCCAGAGTAGGGTCATGACTTGGTAGTTTTTTTCAGTACTTCCTCGATCAACCCGTTTCTATTTACATTTTAATTTTTAACGTCTTAATAGTACTTAAATGCCTGTTTCTCAGTTATGGTCCTTATTAACTGCTTCTCAAAAGTGTCGGTTCCTTACAGGAACAGCTGTTTCCCGCATATATTGATCAAGTTTTGAAATCTGTGTTGCCATTACATGTCTCCTTTTCATCTTTGAGAATTTATAATAGTATCTTTTTCTGGCTTGAGAAACTAAGTCATTACTTTGATATTAATAAAGCCGTGAACTGTCAATAATAATCATATATAATAACTGCCAATAATAATCAGCAGCCAACAGATTGGTAATAAATGATTTCTGTTCTGTTTTAATGAAGATTTAATTTAGAACAGAATTGTGAGCACATAATTTTGTTTATTGTTGTTGTTCAAAGTGCCGTCAAGGCGCACCCTGCCTAGGATTTCCAAAGAGCCATTGGTGAGTTTGTTCAAACTGACCTTGTGGTCGAGTGCATTATCCTGTAGCGCCACATTGTTGTTGTTGTTGTTAAGTGCCGTCGAGTCGGTTCCGACCCATAGCGACCCTGTACAGGGTTTCCGAGGGTGTAAATCTTTA